CAATTAATATAAAGTTATTGAGTGATGTAATACTTAGTAAAAGTTACACCGGTGTCGTTTGAACCCTCCTCAATATAAAATCATCTTGAATTATTATAAAATTTTGTATATATGATTTAAGAGTAAAGAACTTTCAAAGTCTTCAACAATGAACAAAATAACCACGAGCTAGCAACAAACCTCGACCTGCTAGACGAGCTCCGAGACGAAACCCAAATCCACGCAGAAGCTTGCAAACTCCAGGCCGCCCGGAGATATAACTCACGGGTGAAACCCCGGTCTTTCCGGGAAGGTGACCTGGTATGGCGGCTACTCGGAGAAGCACGAAAGGACACGTCGGACGGGAAGCTCGCACCCACTTGGGGCGGCCCATTCTGAGTCGCAGAAAACCTGGAAAACGGAGCCTACCAGCTAGAGGAGCTCAGCGGGAAGCCCGTTCCACGAACTTGGAACGCTACCCACCTCAAATTTTACTTCAGTTAAACTTTGTACAAATACACGATGCACTCTTTTCCCACCTCAGGAAAAACACACTAATTGAGAGGGGCTTTTTAACGAGGCACACGGCTTTCGTCAATAAAATGACTCGTTTCTTTTATATATTCGAAATCCCTTACGGTGCCGTTACCCGGTCATTCAAATAGAGGTCGAAAACGAACCTCACTTCATTCAAATAGAGGTCGAGAACGAACCTCATTTCATTCAAATAGAGGTCGAAAACGAACCTCACTTCATTCAAATAGAGGTCGAGAACGAACCTCATTTCATTCAAATAGAGGTCGAAAACGAACCTCACTTCATTCAAATAGAGGTCGAGAACGAACCTCATTTCATTCAAATAGAGGTCGAGAACGAACCTCATTTCATTCAAATAGAGGTCGAAAACGAACCTCACTTCATTCAAATAGAGGTCGAGAACGAACCTCATTTCACTCAAATAAAGGTCGAAAACGAACCTCACTTTACTCAAATAGAGGTCGAGCACGAACCTCACGTCACCCAAATGGAGGTCGAACACGAACCTCACTTCACTCAAATAGAGGTCGCAAACGAACCCCATCTTACCCCGTCACAAGACAAAAAGAAACCTCATTATTAACGGTTGCAAATAAACCTCACCACCAAAAACACAGGGCAAAAAGCCAGTCTGAACTTCGTCATAACAAAAATCAGGGTGGAAATAGCAACACCTAAACAAAACTTGCATAACTGAGAAGTATAATCCATAAGACAGTCAGAAACAGGAAATACAAAAATTATCCTATACAGAGGCATTGTCACTAGAACTCTCCTCGACGTCGTCCTCTCGGACTAACCGCCCGAAGCGGACAACCTTCTCTAAGTGCATCCCGGAAAGGTCGAACCCCGGCGCAAGGAGCCTAGCCTGCCGGGCCGCCTTAAGAAAGCCTCTCTTATGTTCCACCACGATTGAGCGCTCGACTTCCTCGAGTCTCTTCCTCAAAGCGGCATTCTCGGCCTCTAGAGCCGAAAGACTCTCCCTCTGATGGACCACCTCCGCCTCCTTAGTACTGAGGACCACCTCGTCGCAAAGACGCTCCTCAGATACAGACGTCATTTCACCCTTCCAAAAGGATATCTCCTCCTCCAGAGAGCGAACCTGGCTAGCATAAGCCTCGTTAGAACGGAGGGCCGCCTCTAACGATCCCTGGGCCTCGGCAAGATCCCTCTGCGCCACCTGAAGCTCGACCCCCTGCAGCTTCGCCTCGGACAGAGTGGCGGCTAGAACTTTATTCTCCTCCATCAAGGGCTGCACCTGGCCCTTCAACCTTGATAACTCCTCCTGCTGCCGGGACCATTTGCGCTTCCAATAATCCACAATGGTCGTGCCCCTCTGCAAAAAGATCTGGGCAGCGTCAAAACTTGCCACGGGCCCGGCGGATTCAAACATCGCCTGATCGGCCGCACTCAAGGAGCCCTGCGGAAAAAACTTCTCAGGCGTCAGCGAGGCGCTCCACCAAGAGTCGATCCCCTCCGACGCACTCAGGTGCTCCAACCGTGTTGGCGCACCCTCCTGCGCATAACGATACGCAAGGTAGGGACGCTTGGGCGGCCCCCTCGTCGCAGGCGTAGGAGCCGGAGCCCCAGAACCAGAGCCCTCACCACGACGATCGGTTGAGGAGGAGGAGGCCACCGGCCCAACCGCTGGTCCAGTCGCCGGGACGTTACCCCCCACCACCGGTGACCTTCGACCATCAGAAACCCCTGCGGTGCTCCCCGCCTACAAAAAATATAGAAAAAAATATATATAAAAATTTCACCAACTAAACAAGAGACGCAACAATGTAGCAGATCACAGCCACACGCTGCCCACCTCAACAATAGGAGCGAGCCGCCCAACGGTCGGAATCTCCGCTTCAGAAGGCACACCAGCCTGGCCAACGGCTCGGGAAGTTAACCCAACGACAGCCTCCACCTACGAAGAACGATCACAACTCAGAAACACTAGGCAAAAGCATGCAAAGGAAAAACTAACAAGGTGACAAATAGTCCCTACCCCTCGACCAGCAGCGCTGCACATGCACTCTAGCAGAAGGGCAGAGGGGCTCGATATCCGGCTCCGCCACCCGAGCCCCCCCCTCCAATAGAGAGGTCCCAGTTGAGCCCGCCGCCTCGACAACGAAGGCCCCTGGAACGACCCCCTCCGCCTCGCGAGGGGCAGCGACTCCCCCGGTCTCCGCCGGGACCCTCTTCCTCTTCCGGTTTATCTTCAGGGGGGAGACCTCCTCCTCCCCCTGGACCTCAGGACCCTCAAGCTCGGCCACATTATAGCCATAGCGCTGCTTCCAGCCACACCACAGGTCCCTTCCCACAATACCTAAGTACAGAAATCAGAGCACATCAGCAGGCATTAAGCCCCAACAGCTAAACGAAAACAACAAGATACCCACCCTCCAAGTCTCTCTCCCTGTGCGCCGAATGCTCGAGCGATAGGATGAGCTTGTAGTCCAGCGGACGAGGAAGTGCCTTCAAAGCTTCAACAGCAACCGTCTCCGACAGCGTTAACTTCGACGGTTCCACCCCATGAAACCCAACAGGGTCGTGGCACCAATAGAAAGGAAACCTTGGCAGCCCGCCAAAGTAGAATCCCCCGTCCTCCAAAGGGTTGACACCAGCAAGAGTAACCCGAAAAAACTCCTGCCTGTAATTTTTATATGAAGGGAATAAGGGGTAAACAGACCCCCCTCCTTACCTCCATTTAACGACAAGGTCCCGTACGTAGGACCACCCGCCTTCAACTGGTAAAAAGAAAGGAAGACCGGCAGGGATACCTCCATCCCTAGAACTCCACTCAAGATCTCGAACGCCCTCAAAAAGCCCCAGCTGTTGGGATGCAACTGACTGGGGGCCGCATTAATATAGTTCAAAAAATCACTTTCGAACTGCGTAAAGGGAAGGCAAACACCCAAATCTCTGAAAAAGCTCTCATATACATAAAATGAGGGGGGATCAGCAGACCTTTTCATGTACACACCCTCGCCAGCCGAACAAGGCTCCAGTCGGACCATCCGAGAGACGGAGGGGTCACAAATCCTGTGCGTCTCCCACAGCGCATCGACCTCCGGTTGCGAATCAAAGACACTCGCAAACCTGGCCATTTCGTGTTTGACCCACTCATAACCAGGAATGCCCAGCTCTGAGTCTCCGGGCGGAGGCACCCCTTTTGCCTCGGCGGCGACCACCGCCTTGCCACGTACCCTACCCCTAGTGGAGGCAGAGGACTTGCCGCCATAACCGCCAGCCATCAAGAAAACACAAAGAAAACGGAAACGAGGAGCAACGCAAAGACGAGACGTGCGCAAGAAACCGATAGACAGAGAAAGAGTAAAGCGAAAAGGGCAAAGGCGCGAGAAAAGGGAAAAGCCTCTCCCCGAAATTCAAAACCACCAGGCTACGTGTCGACCAAGGGGCTCGCCTGACAAAACATTAAATGCAAGCCATCATCGCTTAACCGCCATTTCCTTTAGTGCGTCGACCGCACTTTCCAGAAATGAACAGCCGCGCCACGTGGCGAAGCTCCAGATAGCGTACGCACCAAGTCGCTCCCCCTCCAGCAAGCCCGGTCTTAACTCCTCAACCTACGGCTTTCGGAGCTCGGGGGGCTAGTGTACTAACCGTACTTCGCACCCAGGCTCCTAGCCCGGATTAGTGTTGCAAACAAGTAACCCCGGGCACGCGGTGCATGACGTCAGCCCGACATTTGAGCGAATCATACCTGATTCCGAGGATCTCGTCCCAGACCAGATCCGCCCTTCAATTATATCATATCATATCATGATATATCTTATCTCAAGCCCAAAGGCCCAAGACAACCCTAACTCACACAAAGGTATGTGCATTACATATATACGAGACTCATACTCATACAAACCCTAACTTTAGCATCGGAGTCTCTTTTGCAGGTACCTCCCCCATCTCGGAGCACCAATACACCCAGCGAAGGAGGCTCA